ATTATTATCATTATTATTATCATCATTACTGCTACTACTACTACTACTACTACTACTACTACTTTTGCTTCTGCTGCTGCTGGTACTACTATTACTACTATTATAACTACTGTGATGATAATGACGATTATTATCATTGATGTTATTATTTTTAGTATGATTATTACAATTACTGTTATTATCATTATCGCCATTAATACTAACATCTCTTTATAATTATTATCATTATCACTATTAATTTTATTATCTTTTTGTAATTATTATCATTATCATTATTATTTCATCGTTATTTTCATCATTATCTATTATTATTTTCATTATCATAATTAATCTTAATATTGTTTATATTATCATTATGATTATCATTATTACTGCCATTGTTATTGTTATTATCATTATTATTGCCATTTTCATTATTTTTGTGGTTATTGTTATTATTACGTTTATTATAATTTTTGTTATTTTCATCATCATAATTATCATTCTGATTATCATTATTTTAACGACCATTATCATCATCATCCACACTATTTTTTTATCACTAACAGTATTATTGTTATTATTTTTATTCATCTTTACTAATTTATTTCTAGTGTTGAATTTATCGCGATCATGTTTCTTGTTGTTATCATTACTATCATTATTATTTTTATCATTTTTATTATTATTACTATCGTTGTTGTTGTTATTATTATTATCATCATCATTATTACTATGACTGTTGTTATTATTATTATTATGATTATTATTGTTGTTATTATTTTATCGTTATCATTATTATTGATATTATTATTATGATCATTATTATCACTGTTATTATTATTGTCATTACTATTGCTTTTATTATCATTATTACTATAATATAATAATGGTAATAGCACTAATAATAATGATTATAGTACTAACAAAAGTAATAACAGCAATGATGATACCAATGCTAATAATAATTATTATGACAAATATTTATAGCATTGGTATTACTATTATCATGATAACGATTATAATTAAAATTTTTGTTGTCAATATCATTATCGCTATTGCTATTGCTATTATTATTATTATTATTATCATTGTTGTTATTATTACTATTGTTATTATTTTGGTTACTATTATTGTTATTACTGTCATTATTATATATTTTTTTTAATTTTTACAATCATTATTTTTATTATTATTATCTTAATAATCACCATCATTATAATTGTTATTGTTATTATAATCTTTACTATTATCATCGTTACTATCATTATTACCACCATTATTATCATCGATAGCAGAAGTGGAAGTAGTTGTAATAGTAATGATTATTATTATCATTATTATCATTGTAATTATCCTTATTATCATTACTTTCGTAATTATCATTATTATTATTATTATTATTATTATTATTGTTATCATTATTGTTATTATTATTGTTATCATTATTGTTATTATTATTGTTATCAATATTGTTATTATCATTATCATTTTTATCATTATTGTTATTTTATTAGGATTATTATCATTATTAGTATTGTTGTTATTATTATTATTATTATTATTGTTATCATTATTATAATTATCATTATCATTGGTATTATTTTCATCATTATTATTATCATTTTTATTATTATTATTATTATTATTATTATTATTATTATCATTATTATTATTATTATTATTATTATTATTATTATTATTATTGTTATTATTACTATTTTTGTAATTATTATTACTTATATCATAATTATATCTATTATCATTATTACTATTATTATCATTATAATTGTTATTATCATCATTATTATCATTTGCATTATGATTATTACTATAATTGTTATTATTATTGATATTATTATTATTATTATTATTATTATTATTATTATTATTATTATTATTATTATCATCCTCATCATTATTGTTATCATTATTATCATCCTTTTTGTTTCTATAATTATCGTCATGATTGCCTTGCTGATTATCCTTTTTGTCAACATAATCATTGTAATTATTGTCATTATCATCATTATAAGCCAATCATATGAGTTTTATAATTGGCATTATTCTTATCATGATAATAATAACAGTGATCATACATCATCATCGTCAATAACAGCCCCATTAAAAAAAGTAATAAAATACAGTGCCATATAAATGTACATCCACTAAAATTACTGTCGATACTGTTTTTTTCAAAGCCGTAAGTGCAAGCAGGCCCACGATAGTCCCTGCTTAGCAAATTTTAGTCCCGGAATAAAATAGTTTTCCAGAAGGTAAGCAGTTCATCATGTGATCCGGACACTTCACCTTCTGCTGCAAGGGCAAAGCGAGGGCTGACTTGATCGTGCAGTGTCAGCTGTCTGGGTCAGCTGTTATCGGCTGGCTGCAACCTGGGTTCTACGCGATTATTAGGAGATACTCTAAGTGTGTTGTTTCATATTCTTACACACACACATATATATACATACACACACTCATACACACACACACACACATACACACACACACACACACACAC